TACCTAAATCTCGGTGCTTCTGCAGCCTCCCCACCTTCGCCGAGCACGATCCGGTGCTTCCGCAGCCTCCGCAACGGTGGTTTCAAACAAATGTTTTATTTATTGGTTTAAAGAATTTTCAACGTATACATGTGGTGGTAGACTTATTGGGTAATTATGGTAGATTTATAAGTTTTTTTTTTTTTAAGTTTCAGGATGGCAGTTGCGTAAATAAAATAGATTATTAAAGTTTATTTGTCTTTTATCGAGTTGTGTCAAATTACTAGATTTGACAAAATCATTCTAATAATTACCCTACTTTCCAAATTCATTTTAGTAATTAACTCAAATAAAAATTCGTTTTCTTTTTGAAAGAGGGTCGGTCTCAATTAGCTCGTGGCCTCTCATACATCATATTTCTACTCAAGTGCATTTATTTTTTACTTTTTAAAGTTTAATTAGAGACCATTCTTTTTCATCTTACCCTCATAATGACAAAATTCAAAATTAAAAGGCTTAAAACTATAGTGTAGCATGCATCACCTTCCCTTATTGATGGCGAACACTCGTCTTGTTCTACTTTTGTCTTCGTCTGGTTCGCTTTTGGTATAGAAGTTGACCCTTGTATTGTTTTATATAAATAGTACCAAAGTGATTCTTCGAACGACATGACTTAACTTTAACCAGATAGCCACTGATCTCTTCATGCTCAAAAGCATTTGCTTTTGCTTCATATTTGTCATCATTCACCATTTCCTTTTCAATATGTTTCCCACTCTTTTTTCATGTGTAAATCAAAGAGACGTATGTATGTAACATCATATCATAATTACTTTTTTTGATAGCGTACATATATCATAATTATTTTATTCACATATTTTTTTATTTGTCCGTGTATGCACACATAATCATTAACTTTGTAGAACCATTTGTAATTTCTCTTTGGACAGAAAACCAAATTTCTTATAGTACTTCCGTAAAGAATTCTCCGATTATCAGCAACAACTTAGCAAAACTCTTTTGATTAAAAAAAAAAAAAATTGTAAGACATTTTTATAATAATTTCTCAACAAAACAAGGTCTTGGTATCAGTGAGTCTATTCCCACATCCTTTTTCAAAGTTTAGAATTACTAATTAAGCTATATCATTATCGATCAAATCTCAAATTTGAAACTAATACACGACAGAGTCATTATTTTACATATACTCTAGAAGGTTGTTTTTATTTGGAAATAGAGCTCTTAAAAAAAATAGAATAGCCATGAGCCATTAGGGTGACATTTTTCAATTTTTGTTTTTTTTTTCTATTCTTTAACAACAACAAAAAAAATTTTTGGGTTGAATAACTTTAAAAAAAAAATTAAAACTAAAGTTCTAACCATTTAACCTAAATCAAATAGACATGTTTATGCCACATCGGTTAGTTTTAGTTAGTCTACTAATTATTAAAAAAAAAAATTGGTTCGTTGGCAAATTAATCTTTTTTTCTTTTTCATTTATGGGATTCCAAGCCAACTTTTGATGCTGCATTGACGACCAGAGTTCATATATCAATCGAATAATTAAGTTTAAGCAGCCGTCGAGCGAGAGACATGGATAAATAAATCATATATGTCCTCACTTCCATGAGCTTCTTGAAAGAATAATTTCCACATATTTGAGAGAAACCCTAAATCTTTACAGTCATGTCAATGTAAAAGTGATCTGCACAAGAAAATAATAAAAATAGTAACTCTCTAAAATAATTACATTTTAAAATTTCTGACTACATACAGTTATAGATGTGGCCGTTGCAAATTGACAGAATAACAAGAGTTAGGCATGTCAAATAGGTTCAAAGCCTGAAATCCAACCCGATCTAACCCTTAAAAATATCGGATTCGGATCTGAATATATAAGTCCAAAAAAATTAAGTCTTTCGGGTTATTGAATTTTTGGGCTTTAGCCCTATTGGGCTCGGACCGGCCCGGAAAACCCGAAAATAAAACATATAATTTATAAATTTAGTAATAAATTTTGTTTAAAAATATTTTTTAAAGATAAATTAGTTAAAATAATTTATATATATGTACTTCGTTGACCAAAAACTTTTATTCTACTACTTGGATTTTTGGTATTTTGCTTATGTTTATTTGAGAGTACTATTTATTTATAGTTATTTGAATTCATTTGACGTTTGCATTCATTTGGTCACACTTTAAAGTTAAATTAGATTTCAATAAAACATATTGGTAGTTATTTAAATTTAGATTTAACTTGGTAAATAATATTTGTTTTTAATTTATTTTTATTTTATATATAAATATGAAAAAGTCCATAAAGCCCTGTAACTCTGTTCGGGCCGGGCCGGGTTTTGAAAAATAGGCTCGAATATTTTTTGGATCGGGCCGAACCGGACTTATATATAGGCGGGTTTTACGGGTTTCAGGCCGGCCCGAACCGGGCTAACCCGTTTGACATGCCTAACAAAGAGTGAATATTCATAAGGATTGCTTACCGTTAATATTTAAATTTTTTTATAAATTTGCCCCTTATCATTACACATATTACGAAATAAGTAAAAGATTTTACAGACTCAAAGATCAAACACCAGAAAAGGGGCAAAACACACACATAATACATAAACTAAAGAGAGATTCAAGGAAGTTTTTGTTTTTAAGAGCTAAAGATCA